CYWRGCCTTGGACATTTCCAGGGATCCAGGGGCAGCCACAGCTTCTCTGGGCACCCTGTGCCAGGGCCTCCCTATCCTCACAGGGAAGAATTCCTTTCCAATATCCCTTCCATCCCTGCCCTCTGTCTATGGGAAGCCATTCCCTGTGTCCTGTCCCTCCATCCCTTGTCCCAAGTCCCTGTCCAGCTCTTCTGGAGACCCTTTAGGAACTGGAAGGGGCTCTGAGGTCTCTTTGGTACCTGTTGTCCAGATGAACACTCCCAGCTCTCCCAGCCTGGCTCCAGAGCAGAGGGGCTCCAGCTCTGTGATCAGCTTARTGACCTCCTCTGATCTTGTTCCAGTAGATCCACATCTACCTTGTGTTGGTGGCCCAACAACTGGAGGCAGCTCTGCTGGTGGGTTGCCCCYGAGCAGGGCAGAGAGGAAGCAGAAGAGCAGCCTCATGAGCTCTTGCTGGTGGAGGATGGGGAACAGGAACTTCCCTGTGTTCTGGCCTTGCTGAGGTCATTTCACACCTGTGTGGGTGACCAGGAGTGGGTTACACAGTCTAAGYTGACTCCTGTTTGCCCATGGGACTGGCTAATCCAGGCAGGATGTGCTGCCTGCAGAAGCAGCAGGGTCACCCCCAGGTATGACCGACTGGACAAGGGTTGAGCTGCCCAAAGGTGGCCGGAGTGGCACCAGCAAGAGCCAAACCAGCTGCTAAGAAGGGAGATGGAGTGGTGTAGGATTGCTTTTACTTTWWAAAAAAAAAATTAAAATAATTACTGAACTCAATGTTTGGTAGGGTGGAAAGACATGTGTGCATTGTTAGAGATGTGATGAAAGGCCCTTTAAGGAGCGTTTGCCAGAGAGCTCATACTCTGGATTTATGGCCTGCAGCAGCAATGGAAAGATGCTGGTTTCTGTTTCCTGCACCTCTGCAGATCCATAAACTTTCACTGTTTCCCAGGCACTTCTTTGGTCTGTACAGAACATGCTCTGTGTTTGTGCTCCCTYCTTTCCCCTTAGCTACCCTGCAAAGAGCACAGCTCAGAGAGGGCCTTGGGCTGTGTTTGCTGCAGATGGGCTCTGAGGGGCTGCAGTGGCCTGGGGGARCACAGGGACCACAGGATCTCAGCTCTGCTCCATGACCAGCCTGTGCTCAGTGAGGCTCCCCTGCCTGCCCTGTGCAGCAGCAAGTGTGGGAGGGCTYTGTGCCCCACGGGAGCTGGATCAGAGGGTCCTGGCTGGTGCRTTGGGCAGCGCTCCAAGGAGCTTTGTTCTCTTTGAGGCTGACAGTTCCTAGTTGTCAGGAGGTGGGCACTGGCTTTCAGAGGCAAGGGAACCTTGATGGGAAAAGGTTCCCTACTGACCAGTGAGGAAATGCTCCTGTGTTTTACAGCATGTCTGCTTTGAGGGCTCAGGACCCTTTGGGGTAGTCTGGTGCTCTCTCAGTCCCTTCTTCCCCAGGGGTGCCCTCCAGCCTGTCCTTGGCTCAYTGGGGATACCCTCCAGGTACATCCCCAGAGACATCAGTGTGGCAGATCCCAGTGGGGATTCTGAGTGAGGTGGAAGTAATGGTCAGCAGGTCCAGGGGCAGCATCTACTGTGGAGGCTCTGAGGGATGGAGTGAGGTGCTGTGAGTCTCAGTTTGGCTGGGCTGGGCTGTGGCACAGACAGGACCTGCAGGGCTGCTGGCCATCGCTTCCTCTGGGAGAAGAGCATGTGGGAAGTCCCACATTGACCAAGGAGCCTGCACAACCCTGAGGGCTTTCATGCACACCCACAGTGGACTTTTCCACAGCTTCCTGGAGAAATGGCTCATGGCAACAATTCCATGGGAAAGGCAGTGCTTTCACCTGTATCAACCCTGTCCTTTTCTCAGGCTCTTCCTGGGCTGGGCTCTCTCAGATACTCTCCCTCCTCTTCAGACAGCTCCAGAGGTAATGAGCGTGAGCCCTGGGAAGCTGACTGTGCCAGCCTTCTGCCAGCCTTGGGCTCAGACTCCCTGCTCCTGTGGCTTCAGTGCCATAAAGGGTGTCTGTACCACTGTTTGCCATTGCTCTGCCCCAGAGTGCCACCACCTGTGACACCTGTGATAGCTACAACACCCCAGGCAAGCTGACACTGTAGAGACACTTGGGATGAGGGCTGTAATTGTGTAGTCCCAAGAGGAAGCTGTTGCCTGTACCCCTCGGTCTCTCCAGCCATGGCAGCCTGACATACATCATGTGACACTTTGGGAACCCCGTGTGCCACCTGGGGACTCCATTGCTCCTGCACTGACCAGGCAGCATCCTGCTTCTCTTGTCCCCAGCACTGCTCAGTCCTGCTGCCATCACGATGTGAGGCTGCTTCCCGATGGCCCAGTGCTCTTGGAGAGCTCCCATGTCCCTCTGTTGGGGACAGCTTCTGCCCCATGTGTGTCTGTGTACCTCAGTGACTGCTGCAAGACACTCCCAGCAGCAGTGCAGGCAGGGGATTTCAGGCAGAGTGTTGCAGTCAGTCTGTGACTTGGAATGATGCTCATTGTGTCAGTGACAGTGGGGTTTATTTTAGGGYGTTTTCCAATCCATGTTTCCATATCCTTACTTATGGAGTAATGATATGTGCTGGGGAATTTGAGTTTATGCTGGAGATCAGAGATTTGTGCAATGTCCTGGGTGGGAAGCRGCCTTAAAGCTCATCCCGTTCCACCCTCTGCCATGGCAGGGACACCTTCCACTGTCTCAGGATGCTCCAAGCCCTGTCCAGCCTGACCTTGGACACTGCCAGGGATCCAGGGGCAGCCACAGCTGCTCTGGGCACCCTCTGCCAGGGCCTCCCCACCCTCACAGGGAAGAATTTTTTCCCCAAAATCTAATCAAACTGACTCCCTGTCAATTTGAAGCCATTCTCCTTTGTCCTGTCACTCCAGGCAGTTACAAACAGTCTCTCTCCATCTTTCTTGCTGGCTCCCTTCAGGTACTGGAAGGTCCCAATTAGGTCACCCCATWCGTTCTTTCCTCCAGGTTGAACAATCTCAATTCTCTCAGCCTTTCCTCATCTTCATCTCTATTATCAGCTTTTTACCCCTCCTCTGAACTTGCTCCAAGAGGTTGATCCCACTTCCAAAGGAGCATTTTTTTTCCTGGAAATCGACCTAGTTTGTGTTTTTCCCAGTTCTGTGCAAGTGAGCAGTCCTAAGGACATGGAAGAAAATGAGGCAAACATGAAAACGGATTTTGAGCAGGTGTAGGATATCAGAAATCAGGATCAGGATTCAAGTCTCACAACAGGACATGTTTTTCACAGTTCCCACCTGCATACTGTAGCAGAGCTTTGGACATTTTCACTAAATTTGGGGGTCCCACCCTCTTCCCTAATCCTTGGATCTCGTTCTTCTGAATTCTTTCCATCTCTTAAGTTTTTCTTTTTGAGATAAGACCACAGGGCTCAAGTGCAGAGGAGGGAAGCAGAGCCAGGCTCTGGCTGGTGACCCTGTTCTAGGATGTCCTTACACTTTGATGCCACATCCTCTGTCCTGCTCATGAACTCAGCCYCCTGAGCTGCAGATCACAGGGTCCAGCTCTCAGGAGTCTGGGACCGGGAGAGGGACCCTGGTGCTACAATTCTGCTGCACAGAGTTGGGGGTTGGCTCTTCCTTCTGGAGAAGAGGGTGGGGACGATGGTGCCAGATCACACGGACACGACCCCATTCCCAGCTCTCACTCAGGCAGTGCAGACGCCACCCAAGGCACAGCAGCTGCCAGGACAGCCACCAAGGTGCCCCTGACATGAAAGAGGACAGAAACCAGGCACTGGTCAGCAACGGGGCTCATTTATTATCTCACCAAAATGAGTGACAAACAGCTGCAGTAACGTCAGAAGAACCAAAGCTTTGCCCAGGGCTCCCTGCTGCACCATTTGGCACTGGGAGGGTTTGTGATGGAGTCAGTGGATCTGGGAGATCCCTGAATGCAGGGAGTGGATTTGAGGCTGTTCCCAGTGGCCTGTGTCCTCCTGATGCCACCATCCCACAATGCTGATTTCTATTTCCTCCTCCTACACCAGCTGCCTGCCCTTGAAATAGGAGAAGGCACATGGCAGCCCCCAAAAATGGCTGCACTGTGTGTGGGATGTATCCAGAACCAAGAGCCTCTTGCAGCAGTGGGGTTTGGGGGCACCGAGGCAGCCAGGTGACTACAGACAGGAGTGCCCCAGATGTGCTGTGTTGTGTGAGGGGGTGAAGGTGGAGGGGGCCTGGTGTGCCCTGGGGTGCCTTGGCTCAGTGCTGCTGGGTGACCTCAGGCAGAGCACATGGGTTTTCTGGGAACTCTTTGGATTTGGCTGCTTTGGGTTTCAGAGACCCCTTGTGAGACACTGTTGGTCAGAGTGAGAGACTGAGCATCCCCAGCTCCTGGTACTGGCTGATGTGAGGGTTGTGTCCAACCCATGAGGCTCCCGGTGAATGAGCAGAGAGTCCCAAAACAGAGGCAGTCCCAAACTCAGGTGCACACACAGATATGCTGCTGTCAATGGTGTGAGACAGACACCAGCCTGTTTCCATGGGTGTGTGGGACCTGCAGAGAGCCCTAGAAAACAAGGCCTGGAGTTCCTGTGGGTGGCCACATCATGGCACTTGGTCATTTCCATGTATTGCCACAGAGCAATAGCTTTGGCTAATGGTCTYTTCCTTGAGAAGACACGCTTGGCTTTGCTGCAGGCTCCTCCTGGCTGGTGGTGCTGCAGGGTGAGGAGGAGGAGGGTTTCCCTGACCCCCTTCTTGAGCCAGTGGGGCTCTCTCCCAGGCATTTCTGAGCAGAAGTGAGGCTCATACAGGGGTTGTCTCTTCCCATGGCCAGCCCTGAGCATCTGGAGCTCAGTCAGAGCCCTGCTGGGCCAGGGGCAGCTGGCAGAGCGGTRCCTGTTGCCCAGGCAGGTGTGATGGGGATGAGGGTAGGCAGGTTGGACTGGTGCTTTCCAGGGAGCAGTTTGCGTCACCGCGCTGGCCCCTCGGCACTGGTGCTGGCCCTTGGCGTGTGCTGTGGGGCTGTCCCCACGGCTGCTCCCTGCGGGTTTACAAGTGGGACGGATAGGGCGGCGTGGGAGGGGATGGGAGGAAAGTTATCCGCAGGCTGCTGCCGGATGGGTCCCGGCTCTCTGAAGCAATCAGCACCTCACTGTCACTGAGGCAGGGACAATGCTCAGAGAAGCCCCTCTCCTTCCCCCTGGTGCCCACCCTTTGCTGGTAGGGGATGAGAGCCATGGAGGGGAAGTTGTAGCTATCAAGGATGGGGCGCACTCCCAGGGAATCGGGTGTCTCAAACATGTGGTCAATGTCGGAGAAGTTCACCAGAGCCTGGGTGGAGTCATAGGAGCTTTTCTCCATGTCATCAGCCCTGCAGGCCTGGGGGAAAYTGCCCTTGTCCTGCCCTTTCTGCCTCAGCAGGCGGAAGTCATCTCTGAAGTGGGGGTTGAAGAGCAGGTAGAGCAAGGGGTTGAGGCAGGCAGGCAGGGGCAGCACCACAAGGAGGACGGATTTGATGACCTCTGGCGTGATAAGGAAGAGGTTGAGGGTGGAGGAGAAGGTGAGGAAGGCCACYGGGCAGTAGAGGAGGCAGTTGGTGAAGATCAGCCAGGCCACGTGCTTGACCATGGCGCAGTCCCAGACGGCGCTGAACTCYCCCTTGAGCAGGTGGCAGTAGAGTCGGATGTAGGTGCCAGTGATGGTCAGGAAGCAGAGCATGTTTGTCATCACCAGGCCCACAGTGAAGGCCAGGGTGGCGGGTTTCCCCTCTGGGATGGGGTACGGAAGGCACAGGGGGGATGCTCCATATTCCCCGACAGAGAAGAGAGGCAGGACGGCAGCAACTGAGGACARCARCAGGCAGCAGCAGGCAGCAACCTTGACCTTGCCCAGGGAGGGGGACTTGCCGTAGCCCCGCACGCAGGAGACTGAGAGGCTGCACTGCACTGCAGCCAGGGTCAGCAGGAAGATGGCAGCCTGGGAGGCCAGCACGGACAGGAAGCCCGTCACCCTGCAGCCCGCGCCCGTCTCCCATCTGGCGCCGAACCTGGCGAAGTGGCCGTAGGTGAGGGTGTCCACCAGGGCCAGCATGCTGCAGGAGATGCCCGTCAGCATGTTGGCGCCGGCGATGGAGCCCACGAGGAAYTTCACTGGGGACAGGTAGCTGGGTGAGGCAAAGACAGCCAGGATGACCAGCCCGTTGCAGAGCACCGAGACCACAACGATGAGCCAGACTCCCAGGCGGATGATCCAGCTCTCAAACAAGTGATCACAGGGCTTGAAGGGACCTGGAAGACAAACGCCAGAGTTACACCCAGCACATCCGCTTGGCTCCAGTGGTGCTTCTCAGAGTGGTGGCCAAGTCCCAGCCCTCTCCTGGGGCCAAGTCCCAGCCCTCTCCTGGCCCCACCAGCCATGTGAGTGCTGAGGTCTGGCAAGGAAAATAGGACATTGCCCACCCTCTTCTGCAGCTGCCTCTTGGCTCTCTCCCTGCACTCCTGACCCCACACTGGAGTGCCTCTGGCATCCTCTCAGATGATGTCTAGGGCAGGAACAAGGTGTCGGGAGAGGTCAAAGTGAAATGTAAAAATAACAAACTGATCAGAGCTCCCAAAACATAAAATGTCGTGCCTGCAGACCCACCTGTACTCCTGGTGTCAGTCTGGCATTTGGGCCCCTCTACCATTACCTGCTGCTTCTCTTGTTCTGGGATGTGGGAGTCAGTGTTGTGAGATCTGCCAGGATGCTGTGTCCGGCTCTGGCAGKGCCAGAGTGGACTCCAGATATTGGCTAAGAGGTGTCTGACTGTCCCTGCATGAGTGGCCTCTGCACCATGAGCTGAAGTGTCTGGGCAGGAGGACAGAGSGAGGGAGCTGGGGTGGCAGAGAACGGACAGAGGGGGCTGGGCAGGCAGAACATGGAAGGATATCAGGAGAAAGTAGAAGTGGATGGATGGGGCAGTGAGTGAAGGAAGATCATGGAGGAGTAAAAAGGGGACTACTGTGGATGCTTTTTGCCAAAGGAAATAGAAGAGGATTGGGAAAGAGAGAGTGGACAATAACATATGGCTGCCTCTGGGAGGGATTGGGATATTTCAGTGWGGGACTCAGCAAAATCAGAAACAGGACGGTAGAAGTTTTAGGTGGCAGAGAGCAAACAAAATAAGAGGAAATGTTGAAACCTTTTCCATCCCAAAGGAGTGCCAGGCAGCAGGACATGCCCTCAGCCGAAATCTTGTTCCTTTTTCAACAAGCTCAGTGGGACAACTGGTGAATGCTCTGTACCTGCCAGTGTGCCACAGCAGGCTGGCTGGAATCAGACCTCTCCAGGTGTGCTGGTGTAGGACCCCACTGAGCTATAAATGGTGACAAAACCAGAAGGCAACTTCCTCGAGCCCCAGCTAACAGGTRCAGTCCGGTGCTTCCCTGCTCTCCCTTCCTCAGGAAAGGGAGCAAAGCACCCTGCAGTCTGCAGTGCTACAGGTGTGATCAGGGCATCAAGGACAAGGCCTTGCCACGCAATATTCCAGGCTGGCTCAGACAGAGCTGGGTGTAAGTCATGCAAGGGAACAGGGGCTTCTGGAGAGCCAGATGTGAGTGCAGCACGTCGGTGGATGGAGGAGCYGGTGACACCTGGGATCGCTGACCTGGGCCTCTCCTCACAGGAGGAGGAAGGGGAAAAGGAAACTCCTCACCTGTCCCCCATTAGGCCCAAGCCCAACCTATCAGGCTTCTGGTCTGTGAGGTCCTGGGGGATCCTGGGGATTTCGAGAAACTCAAAGGATCCCAGCTCTGTTGAAAGGGTTTCCCTGGGTGCTCACCGGGGCTTGGTGTGCACTGAACAGTGGGGTGCAGCTTTGATTCCTCAAGGTCCAGCTGGAGATCATCTGCATCCAGGTCATCTGGGGAGAAAAGAACAAGAAATGGTGCTGAGAGAAGAAYGAGCAGAACCATCAGAGCTGACTGGGCTGGGAGCTTTTCCTGCTGTCCGTCCTSTACACAGACCTGCCCAGCCAGTTCCCAGCCTGTAAGTTCAATGTCACTGCTGGTGTACAGTTTGTCCCCTGGAGTCACTGCTGCAGAGGGAGAAGATCTTGTAAACGTTGTTGGGTTGCAGTGCAGCCAACCCCTCTGTTTTTAGGTTACTCCCAACATTTGAAGTGTAAGAGCCCCAGCTCCCAGAGCTGTGTGACTGCGGTTCCCTCCTCCCAGCACGCTTTATTAAAAGTAAATAAATACTCCAGCCTGTGTGGTTACAGAACACAAAGCCTTCAAATGCATCTTCTCCATGGGAGCTTTCTGGGCAGGCCCTGTGCAATGTTAGTTCATCACCAGGAATTCTGGGGCTTTGTTCAGAGGGAACCATCAGCCTCTTCTTGCAGCACAAATTCTTCATCAGCAGCCACCACCACCAAACAGCTCAGCAGCAAAGAGACAAGGAAAGCCAACATTTATTGCTTTATTTTATATCCTGTGCAGTCTTGRGGCTGTGTGCCCTGTTTTGAATTGTGGATGTTCTCAGGGTTTGCTGGAGGCAGAGTGGCTGCTGCAGACTCTGCATCTGTGGGGTTTGTGCAGCCAGGCTGCAGAGCCCAGCCCAGCACCAGCATCYCTGTCCCACTGGCAGCTGCACCCCAAGCCAGGCTGGGGCCTGCTGAGGGTCAGGCAGAGCCCCCCTGGCTGAAGGAGAAGCTGCTGGAAGGGAATGGGGACGAGCCCTCAGCTGGGTTTTCAGTGTAGGTAGTCACCAAGGTGAGTGGCATCCCCTCAGTCTGATCCAGGATGTGCTTTGCTGCTTTGCTCCCTGCTCCTCTTCCCCAGTCCCGCTGACTGACAGCACTGGGACACGGGGAGGACAGCTGCTGTCCCGCTGCCCAGTTCCCACCCATGGCACCAGCACAGCCTGCAGCTCCCAGTGGAGATCTTTGGAGGGTTTTCTGCCAGCGGGAGGAAAGGGAAAGGATGTGGTTTTGTTCTTGCTGCAGCCTGGCAGCCAGAGAGCTGGATCTGTGGGATGAGCTCTCTCTTGGATGAACAGACTGATGCTGGAGCCCAGGCTGCACCTGGCAGCTCAGACACTGCCCAGGAAGGGAAATTTCCACAGTGCTGAAGATAAGGCTGACCTGAGTGGGATTTACTTGTCTCCTCTATTTAGAAGTAGTGCCTCTCATGAGCTCTGTTCCCTGCCTGTGTTTGAAAATGTGACTGGGATTATTTGATTAAAGGATGATGACAAATAACGTGCTATCTTTAGTGCCTTCTGACAAGCTTCATGGCTTTCTCAGCTTCAGGGAGCTTTGGAAAAAAAATAATTTTTAAAATCTGTCTGTATAAGAATTGAAATATTACTGCTGCYTTGGAGCCTGGCAAGAAAACACTCACAGTGGGATGGAAAAATATTTCATCCTTGTATTTTATAGTCTTATAAATCTCCAGTGTCTTTTCCAGCCACAGTGTGGAGGCTGTGATGTGCAGTCACGATATCCCAATAACACAGACACAGCCTTGCACTTCCTGTGCTCTGCTGAGACCCAGCCCTTGGGAAAGCATAACCTGTGCCATCCCTGTTCTCCTCAAAGCCTGGTTTTAAGCCCAGGTTAAACATTTTCATGAAGTGAAGGATGATCTTTTGTTTTGCCTGGACTACTGAACCTGCTGGGAATTACAAAGCAATCCTCAGTCAGCACAGCAGGATTCAAAGTGGAAAATGTACCTCTCTCTGCTGGAAACCAGTCCTTCCCCAGCCTGGGAACTGTGGGGAAAGGAGAATGGCTGTTGTGTCCTAGCAAGGCAGGCTGCACTGGTTTTGAAAAAGCTGTCATTTATTTGAATTTTGTTAAGGCACCTCCACTTTCTAGGTCCTATGGACAAACCTCACTTTGCCAGTAGTGCCTTTTCCATGGGAAAGGAGCTGCCTGTACCAACAGCAAGTGAGAGGAAGAGGAGGAGAATTGCTGGAGATGGGATAGAACAGAAAACACTGAATGCTTTTTCCCCTTAGTGCTGTCAGTTTGTTGCCCTTAGTACTGTGAGCTCATTCCCTTGGTGCCCTCTGCTCATTCCCTTGGTGCCCTCTGCTCATTCCCTTGGTGCCCTCTGCTCATTCCCTTGGTCCTGCCTGCCTCAGCCAGGGCAGCCCCAGGGTCTGCAGGGACCCGCCCTCTCCTCGGCATAAGGGCACAAGTGGCTGCAAGGGGTCTGGGCAGATCCCGTTTTGAGTCTCGAGCAGCCTTCTTGAATGACAGAAGGAGGAAAAGTGCAGCTGCAAGGACCCTGCAGGGTTTGCCATGTGCTTGCAGGAGTTCATGAGTAACTTTACAAGCTGTTGGAGGAGCTGGGCTCGGGGAAGCAGTGCCCTGCTGCTGAGGATAACCATTCCGGTGTGCTCCCTGCTCACTCCCAGAGCTTTGTTCCATTATTGCAAACACATGCTGCTAAGTGAACACATCCCTTCCTGTCCTCAAATCCCAAGGGARGTGCTGGGATGGTGAGGGAAGTGCCCCAGGACACCTTTCCTGCCCTCCTTTGCAGCCACTGTTGGGAGCTGCTGGGACTGCTGGGAGCTGTCCTGGTGACAGGCCCTGAGGCACTTTTGGGTTCCTGCTCAGCCACAGGGGACAGATTTGGGGCAGGGGGTGTCTGTTGAACACTGCCAGTTGTAATCCAAAGAGCCTGAGACARTCAGGATAGTCCAGCCTGGAGAAGAGAAGGCCCCAGGCTGACCTTAGAGACTCTTCTGGTGCCTAAAGAGGCTCCAAGAGATCTGGAGAGAAGCTGCAAGTGTCCAAGGCCAGGCTGGACTGGGTTTGGAGCAGCCTGGGATAGTTCAAGGTGTCCCTGCCCATGGCAGGAGTGGAATGAGAAGACCTTTAAGGTACTTCCCAAGCCCAAACCATTCTACAATTCTATATCCCATACATTGAAAATGCTGGAATGAGACCTTAAATACCTGTTGTGACAAGGTGACAGAATGATGAGACATGCACTGACCCCACTCCTTTGGGCCTCAGATGGCTGTTACTCAGAGGCAAATGGACGTTATTGGTGGTTGGGGTGGGTTCCCAGGCATCCAGGGCTTTGGAAGGATGGGAAAGGGCTGACCTGGCCCTGGGGTCTGTGTCACCAGTGTGCTCTGTCTGGAGTCAGGCGGTGCCTCGGGTGCTGGCCGTGGCTGTGGGATTGGTGCTGGATGTGGGAGCAGCAGAGGCTGCAGGAGCCCCTGTAAGGAAGGGCAGGGCTGGGTGTCGGGGAGCCACTTCTTGTCCCTGCATGGCTGCCTGAGACAAGTGGCCTTTCACCACCCAGAACTGAGTTCTGYGGACTTGCACAAGCACAAGCACCCCACAAGGCTGACAACACAGAGCTGTCTGGAAATGTTCCCTGTCCCTCTCACAAGTTGTCTCCCAGAACCTGAATGCCTGGACAAGCCTGGCTGGATCCTGCTGTGGCACTGCCCTGAGGTGTTTTCTCTTGAGTAGACCACTTGCCCTCTTGCATGAAAGGAATGTTTGGGAGGCTTTWTGCTCTTTAATGAGAAAGTGTTGCAAGGTTCATATAACCCAGCTAAATACCGCAGTGGCCATCAGGAAGGAAGAACAGGGAAYAGAAATAAAGCAATGATGAATTAAGTAAAACAGCAATGTCCCAAACMCTTTATCATCAAGAACAGACCCATTGCTGGATATAAGGGGAGTCATCTGCAAAAGCTGCACATCATCAGGGTGCATTTCACATTTGCACCTCTGTGCTTTGATATTTCCAGACAGATTAATGCTTGAACATCTCAAAATGGGAGCCTTTATGAGCTACAAACATTCTCATTTGGCACGTCTTAGAATCAGTCAGCATTCCCCTCTGGTCCCACCATCCATGGGGTTGAGGCTGGCTTGGAGGCCAGTCTGGGACCCTGTGGTGGGTTTTGGACTTCTGACAGTGCCAGGTGAGAGCCAGCAAAAGCAAGTCTGTGGCCMCTTGTCACAAATGAGATCTTTCCACAAGTGCTGTAATTTGCTGGGCAAACCCCACAACGATCTGCAGCAGCCCTGCTGCAGTATGGGCTGCACTAATGATGGAAAAAGTGACCTGGCTCAGAACAAAATCCTGCAGCAATGCCTGTAACATGACTCCTGTGTACTGTCTGGCCAGTGTTACCACCAAGTCTACCATGCTTCCTGGAGCCACATCATGCCAGTAGGAATCGCATTTGCTCCCCTCTGGCTGGGCTTTTTGTGTGTCTAAAGCTGATTCTTAGGCTGTGAAGGATCAGGACAGGAGCAGAGCACAGGGTTCGTGGGTCACTCGCTGGCTGTGTCACAAATGTCTCGGTCATCCTGCCCTTGACACAGGCATGCTGACCCAACGGCTCTGGGTCAGTGTCAGCCTCCAGACCCAGCCCTGCCTGCTCAGGGTGTGGGAGGGCTCTGCAGAGCCCCTGGCTGTGGCTGGATGCTCAGTGCTCCTGGGAGCAGGTGAGTCAGGGGCTCCCCAGGACACTGCCCTCTCTCCATCTACCACGGTGGATTTGTCTGCAGGATGTCTGAGATCTTGGAAAAGCACTGTATTTACACAAATATATAAATAGATGCAGCATCCGGGTTGYGTCCTGAAATGCTGTTTCCACTCTCCAGCAGCTACAGAGGGAGCAAAAGGGCTCATGCTTTTTTTTTCACATTATTCTGAGATTCTGTTGCAAAGGGATCCCACCAGCCTTGTCCCACAGCTKCTGCTGTGGGGCTGGGCGTGCAGGGGTGCCTTGTCCTCTCTGCTGGCCTCCTGAAGCTGGCTTCCTGCAGGTCTGTGCAGAGCTACACACTGGATGGAKCACAGAACAAACAGACTCTTGGACAGAAAGTGCTCCTCGACCRTGGAGCCCCTTCTTCCCTGCCTTGGCCACTCCCTGCGCTGTGCTCCCCAAATGTGTCCTGTTGCCACACTTAACCCTTACCTTCGCTGTGACATCAGGGGTGTGCACAAAAGCAGCAYAGGTCTCTCTGCCTCCAGCCAGCTGAATGTTCCACATCTTTGAGTTCATTCTCTTACTCAGATTAATCCCAGGGTCCTTCCTCTAGATGTTGTAACACCAAAGACTGATGTCCTACTGAAGGCTCCAMATTGCCCAGAAGTCTAATGACCAAGCCCAGTTGTCCCAGGTAGCCTAAGCCACCTCCCAGTGGCCTGGGCAGCCTCCCTCCATASCCASCAAGGCCAAATTGACAAACAKGTCWGTGTTATGGCAGACTGCCAKGTCCTTTGRTTGCATYGTCAAGGTTTGAAYGKGCCAGATCTACCCTTCCTTCCACACAGGGTCACCAGATGAAGCCCATTCAAAGCCATGGGCCACCTGTGTTGAAGAAGGCTCAGCCTGCCTCCCCTGAGGCAGGGATCACCTCTGGCAGTGGCTCCAGCATTGCACCCTAAAACACAGCCCTTCAGCCCTGGTTACTCACAGTGGTTATCGGTGTGGCCTGGGAACAATTCCAGGGTCCTCTTGTGGGGATCCTCCTCCTCAGGGCTCATGTCTTCAGCCTCCCACTGGCTGGACCCCCTGAAGAAGCTGCTGCAGCTCCCGTAGGCACAGCACTGGTAGGCATATGGCACCTCCAGGACTCTGCGCAGAGGAAAGCAGAACTTTAGAGTGTGTCCCCTCCAGGACCTGACTCTTAAGCACTTTTTGCTTAATTCCTTCAGTTGCTCAGAGATGAAACTCATCTGTACAGAGTCAAAATATTCTGAGTTGGAAGGGACCCACAAGGAGTCATGTYCAGTTCTTAAGTGAATGGGCCATTGTGGGATCACACCCGCAATGTTGGTGCTGTTAGCACTGTACCCTAAACCACCTGAGCTAACCTCAGAGTCAAAAAATTGTGGAATGCCCTCTGAATTTCTGTGATACCCTTGTGCAGGGGCCACACTGATCTTCCCTGCATGGTTCCAATTTGGGTGCATGTGCTGCTGACATGACCAAAGCTGCTCTGTGTGGTGATGGTCACAGGGGAGAGGGACTTTGCTCTGGCGAGGACTCCATGTAGGACAGAGTGTGGAACCCAGGGCACCCCATAGTGTCTTTGCACTGACCCACTTTTGGTGCTTAAGACACTGTCAGTCAATAGAATGTTGTCAAATGTCAGGTTTGGAAACTGCTCTCAAGTTCCCAGATGGTTCCTTGTCCTGGTTCCAGCCAGAACAGGGTTAATTTTTGCAGTGGGCAGGATGGAGCATGGCCAGGATACACRGGTTATTCTGTACCACCTCACTCATTGCTGGGAGCTGGGGGGAAGGAAGGAGACTCTTCTGGGGAGAAAGGAGAAAATGTGGTGGGGGAGCCATCTGGTATTTGTTTGGTGTTGGGGGCTTTCCATGTAAATAATTTTATTTTCTTATCTTTTTTATTATTAATATTGTTGATGTTACTGTTTGTTTCTTATCTCATTGCTGTTTCCAGTAAATTGTTCGTATCTGAATCGATGATCTTGGCCTTTTGTGCCTCCAGCTGGGGGGTAATGAGTGGTGCATGGTTTTAACAGGAATGCTGAATTGGAGAATACCATTCCTAAAACACCACACTCCTAAAAACCCATCTGCAGTTCTCCTCAGACTGAATTACCCCCTCTCTCCAATATCCCTTGTACAGCCTTCATTTTTTACCCCAAGGCACGTTTTGCTGGGCATCCCTCCCTTGCTTCAAAGGTTCCCTAGAGCATGGCTCCCCTTGCTTGGTGCTCAGGGTCACAGAGGCCCCTTCAAACCCCAGTTCCAGGAGCGTGTCTCCACCCTGACAGCCCTGGCAGGGAATTCTCAGAAATTATTTAAATAGGTMTGATTTCTACTTGAAAGTTGAATTGTTAGTCACTAATTCTAGCATGTATTACGAGGTTAATTCAACAGCAGCTGAGCATCATCTGGATGCAATACCAGGCTGTCTGTCAGCAGCTGCATTTTTGGCTTTGCTGGAAGTCAGGGAGACTGCTGATGAAGGCAAAGGAACCTCAGGTTTTCCAGACAATTAAGGTCTTCTGACAAGATCAGTAAATACGGTGAAACTCTATATTCTAAAAATATGCTTTTGTTTTATGTTCCCAAACATTTCTGGCYGAGCCCGGGAGGGTCTGGAAACGTTGTATACAAGCTTGTTTCCTGTTGTAAGCTCCAAATTAGATGCTATTATTGAAAGGTGGTGGGGAGGTGCAGGCCTCTCCCAGCCAGGCTCAGAACTGCTCTCAGATGGCTCCTGCAGACCTGTCCCAAGAGCAAAGCTACTTAATGGCAGCACCCCAAAATTTAGGGAATTTTAATGGGTCCATTGCCTGGCATGGTTCAGTGAAGCACTGCTGCAGGCTCAGTTTCTCTGGTACCAATCCAAACCAACTCCAGGGATGCAAATGGAATTAATTTAGAGGAGAAACACCCTGGAAGTGCTGAACTTGACCCACCCTGCACMAGGGACTGCCTGTTGGAGTGGGTCTGGAGGAGGCCACGGAGCAGCTACGAGGGCTGGAGCACTGGACCCAGGCTGGGAGAGCTGGGGTGTCCACCTRGAGAAGAGAAGGCTCCAGGGAGACCTCAGGGCCCCTTCCAGTGCCYAAAGGGGCTTGGCACTTGTGAGGCTGCAGCCTGAGTCCTGTGCTCAGTTCTGGACCCTTCACTTCAATAAAAACATTGAGGGGCTGGAGTCAGTCCAGAAGAGGGAGAGGGCAATGGAGCTGAGGAAGGGCCTGGAGAGTAAATCATAAGAAYGGTGGCTGAGGGGGCTCAGCCTGGAGAGAAGAAAGCTCAAGGGGCCCCCCATCAGCAGGSACCTTCTCACTCCCCACAGCTGACATTTGTAACAAGGTGGAGATCGGTTTCTTCTCCCAGGCACTAAGCAACAGGGTGAGAGGAAACGGCCTCAAGCTACACCAGGGGAGACTCATGTTGGAAGGAGGAGGAATTCCTTCAAGGAACGGCTTTTCAGACACTGGGAGGGGCTACTCAGGGAGGTGGTGGAGTCCCCATCCCTGGAAGTGTTCAAGGAATGACTGGACATGGCACTCAGTGCTCTGGGCTGGTGACAAGGTGGGGACTGGGCWCAGGTTGGACTCGATGATCTCTGAGGTCTTTCCCAATATTAATGATTCTTTGATTCTGTGGTTCTGTGAAAAGAGCTGGAGAGGGACTTGGGACAAGGGCCTGGAGGGATAGGAAAAGGGATCCTCATTTCCTAATGACAGAGGGCAGGGTTAGATGGGATATGGASAAGGAATTCTTCCATGTGAGGGTGGGGAGGCCCTGGCACAGGGTGCCCAGAGCAGCTGTGGCTGCCCCTGGATCCCTGGAAGTGTCCAAGGCCAGGCTGGACAGAGCTTGGAGCACCCKGGGATAGTGGAAGCTGTCCCTGACCATGGCAGGGAATGGAATGGGATGAGCTTTARTGTTTCTTTCCAACCCACACCATTCTRTTGTTCAATGATCTTGGGTGTAGAAAACCCTCCAAAAGCTTCTGGAATCCCTTGCCATGTGGAAGCCAGCCATGCAGCAGATCCCAGCTAYGATGAGTGAAAAAGGTCACAAGAGATTCCCCTGCAGGCACCGCTGYTGAGGCAGCCTCCAGTGAGAGCCCCACACTTCTCCTCAGCCTGGGCTGGTGCAGTAACCTGTGAGCCCAGCCCTGTGTGTGAACTGGGGAGTCTCCAGCTTTGGGAACCCCTCCTGGGGGAGGGGGAGCATCAGCTCACACATTCCTGGCTTGAAGGTAGCTCCCTGGAAACACCCAAGCAAGAGGCGACTTAATCCCAGGGGAATTTGTGTTCTCTGGACCGTGGACACCTCAAGGCAGGTGCCACAATGAGACCCAGGAACTGAGGAGGGCCAGGAAGGGCTGAGCCTGCAGCACAGCACTGCGCTCTGAGCCTTTTGCAGCCTCTCCTTGATCAGTTTGACCCCTKCAGGCTCCTCATTAATCCGTCACAGACAAGACACGGCCACACAAACAGAGTTTATGGAAGGAAACCTGGATGTCATTAGCTGGGACTGCTTCTGGGAATGTTTTCCATTGAGAGGAGCCCTGAGCTGGGCCTGCTCCACACTTTCCACTTGTGTGTGTGTGTGTTTGGGGTGGGGGTGGTGGCCTGGGAGCACATCCCTGCTCTCCCGTGGCACATTAAATAGACRAGATGTGCTAGCAGCAGATCTTCCCCCAGCCATGGGCCTGGAAGCACAGAAAGAGCATGGGATGGACGAGGAGAGCAGGAGGCTGTGCTGTGAGCAAATAGAACCTGTGCTGAACACCAGAAAGAGCCAACACTCCAGGTACCTCATCTTGGGGAAGCTCTCCTTGGTGAAGGGCTCCGAGAGAGCCGGGTTGCCTTGGAGCTTCARATGGGTCAGTCCAGCCAAACCATCCAGGGGCAGCGCGACCAGCTGGTTGTTGGTCAAGTCCCTGGTGAGGGGAAAGCAGAGAGGGAGACCATGGTCAGGGCTCTGCTGAGCCAAGCAGAGGGCACTGCCGCGACTGCTGCCTGGATGTGATGCTGGAGTGGGGCTGGGTGCTGTGTGGGGCCAGGAGCCTCTGGAGAGAAAYAAATTGAGACTCATTTTCCAATCTCATGGCCATACTGAGAGCTCTGGGTGGTGCCTCCCTCGCTGTACACATTCGTGCCCCACACATCTCCTCCTACATGACAGGTCAGGAATGGCTGCAGATCCCAGCCCATAAAATACCCAAGAGTCTTAGAGAGGGGGCTGAGGACTGGGGACCCTCCAGAGCCAGCACAGAGGGTCTGCAGTGACTCTTRCAGGAACAGCCCATCATGCTGATATTCCTTGAAGGCATCTAAGGCAGCTATGAAAGCATCAGGAAATGGAGATTTGAATATTCAGGGTGAGAGCATTTTGAAGATGGCTCCTCCTGAACTTCATCATCCCTTTATTAWCAGTGTTAATAGGAAAAYTTGGGATTTGTTCTGTCCAYATCATGYTGAGATATGCACCTCAGCACATYAGTGTTCCAGCAGCTAAACCCCAGMTGTTCTGGTAGCCCAGGGGGTCAGTCTGAGCTCCCATCCATGGCYCACTGGGAAGGAAAATCAACTTACAGCTTGGTGAGGGAATGCAGRGTCACAAAGGCTTCTGGGTGGATAAACCGAATGCAATTCCAGCTCAGGTCTCTGCAAGGCAAGGACACAGCAGTGAGAAGGGAGCAGATGAGAGCAGTGAAATTGCTGAACTGCTGACACCGGCCTGGCCAAGGGCCCTGATGGCAGCAAACGTGGGGTCTGTAGCCCCTTGGTCAGCAGCAGGTTCTGCCCCATTGCAGCTCCTTGTTTGGGTCTGTATGTGGATGGTTTCTGACGGAGGGCACCAGAGTTTGCCCTGCAAGAGCTCTTTGGATGAGACCAATGGGAAAGGTTGTTTATTTTTTTTTGGTTTTTTTTTTTTTTTTCCTGGCCTAATTTCTGTAAATTTTTGGGGTTTATTTGACCCGAATGCCAAACAGGTTGTGCCAGAGCATCCCCAGTGCAGTCACAGTGCTGGGTGCAGCAAGGGCAGACAGGGCCAGGGGTCTGAGAAGGTATATCAGGAACAGTGTGGCCAGCAGGTCCAGGGAGGACATTCTTCCCTTCTACTGGGCAATGGTGAGGCCACACCTTGAGTACTGTGTCCAGTTCTAGGCCCCTCAGTTTAGGAAGGACATTGAGATGCTTGAACATGTCCAGAGGAGGACAAAAAGGCTGGGGAACGGCTTGGAACATAAGCCCTGTGAAGAGTGGCTGAGGGAGCTGTTCTTCAGCCTGGAGAAAAGGAGACTCAGGGGTGACCTTATCACTGAAGGGTGGCTGTGGCAGGTGGGGTCAGTCTCTTTCTCCAGGCAGCAGCTAGCAGAACGAGAGGACAGCCTTAAGCTGCACCAAGGGATATGTAAGTTGGATATCATGATAAAGTTTTTATGAAAAGAGTGATAAAGTACTGGAATGGTCTGCCCGGGGAGACCATGAGACCATCCACCATCCCTGGATGTATTTATCAAAAGACTGGATGTGGCACTTGGTGCTGTGGTTTATTTGAAGTGTCAGGGCAYGGGTTGGACTCGAAGATCTTGAAGGTCTCTTCCAACCTCATGATTCTKTTATTCTGTGATTGTGTGATTTTAGGGATGTCTCCTGCCATGTCAAGGTGCTTTGGATTTACTGAGCCCCCTCCATAAGCTCTGCCTCCATCCTAGTGAGAGGGCTCCGYTCCCTCCATCCCCAGTGGAGAGGAAACCAGCAAGCTGGGACACATTTCTTGCCTAAGGCCGACTACAGGTCAACCTTCACCTCTCCAGCTCTAAGGGAGCCAAGATACCTGCTSAGGTGTGTGTGAGGATGGGTGGGATGGATCCTGGTGGGATGGATCCTTCCCACAGAGACCAGCACAGTTCCCTAGGTGCTCGTAGAGCTTGCTCAGGTGTGTGTGTGTGCCTGTGGCTGGAGCAGCATGCTCAGGTGTCCCTGAGTGCTGCAGTGTCCCCTGTAGCACCTCAGCATTCCCATGTGGTTGTAAATGTGGTGCAGGTAACACTCATGGGATCCCGGGAATGCTGGGCTGCTCAATGGCATTCACACTGCTGCACCACGGCAGGAGGTTTCATGTGATTGAGTTCATTTCCTAACACAACAGCAAATGAAGACTGCCAGGGCTCTTCCCAGATTGTCACAGAGACAATCATGCCCTTYGGGGCAGCTCTCCAAGGTGCCAAGCTCTTAGGAGGTCACTCTGGGTGCGTGGGAAGTGTATGCTTGAGTGTCCTTGGTGCGTGGAACACAAACTTTGAGTTGTGGGGAGGAGCCCTCAACCAAAYGGGAGGCTCTGCATGGATGTGCCCGGCCCAGGACAAGCCCGTGTGGGACAAGGGCTGCTGGAGCTCCGGTACCCCAGGGTCAATCACTGCCAGGAGCTCCTCCTGCATTCACAGGGCCTGACCGTGACGTGGGCTCTGCTGTGGCACAGCTGCAGYRCGTGGGCACCAGCGGGGCAGGGAARGAGGGCATCACAGGTACAGGRGAGGCCCAAAKGATGGTTTGTGCCCTCTTTTTTTCTAAGGTGGAATGGGAGAGGGACTCAGCAGAAAAGCCTCCCAGGAGGGCCAGAGGCAGCAGGGTCGGGAACTCCCCCAGCCCAAGCGGGGTCCCAGCTCCCCTTCCCCAGCACAGCCC